CTTCTGTACCTGTTGCGTCTCGAAGTTGTCAATGTGGGCCCCTACGAATACTTTGCCTCGAGGGATTGAGTTCATGGCGTCCTACATTCGGGCACTGATAAGATCGAGCATCACCTAAGCGGTTAAATCGCTCACAGCAAGTTTGTAGACTTCTTGTCAAGGAATCTGGGCATTGGTAATGCTGACGGGTCCTATCAAAATCCCGAAGTCAATAGTCCGGCAAAACACCACACTCCATGGCGAACCATATACTCACCGAAGTCGAGGAACCGGCGGAAAGTCTTCTCCCCATCTTCTTGAACGGAGTTACTGACCCCGTTAAGAATAATATAGGGCTGATGAAGAAAGAGTCAGCTCGCGGCGCGTTGGTGGGGCCGGCATGTATCTCACATTTCCGTCTGGCCCAAGAGAGAGGAGTAAAAAAATGGTCTCGTGAAGCTTCTGCAACGCCCTCCATTCGTTAACCGCGGTGACGACTGCTTCGAGTTGAGTCGGGAGATACACATAGCCTATCAGACAATATGTATGATTGTTCGACTCCGCGAGCGCAATTTCCCATCGTCTGACGTACTGACGGCATAAGCATCTGGTCTTTGTGGGTGCAGCTTGACCCCAAGCTCGGCGACCACACCGAAGTTTGAACCACCTATTTCATCCCTCTTCACCAACATGAAGTGAGTGTTTAAAGCGCGATACTAACCTCCTTTAAGACCCCACAGCAGGTCAGGGTTCTCCGACTCGCCTGCTTGAACGACCTCCCCGTTCGCCAGAACGATGGTTGCTGACACCAAGTTATCACACGCCATACCGTAAGTCCAGATTGAGTGCCCGATACCACCGCCAAGCGTGTAGCCGCCAATAGAAACCTGGCTGCACTGTTCAGCACGTTAGATTTGTCTCAAACTATAGCGAGTGAAGAGAGCCCTACCACCCCTGCACACGCGGCAAGACCTGAGAGTCCAAGAAGGTCAACAAGGAAATAAATCAGAACCTTACACGGAAGGATTTTTGCTGTGATTGACGAAATACCGTATTTGATCGTCTCGGCTTCAACTTGCCACATCAGAGCCCCCGCTTGAATGTACCCAATACTTGATCCTTCGTCGATTCGAATTCTTGTCATCTTTCGCATGTCAATCAAAAGTCCGTCTGTTGCAGAAGAGGTACTACTGCTGTGACCTCCTCCGCGAACGGCTAGAGGCAGGCCTTGAGAACGCGCGAACCGATCGCGAGACCCAGTGCGAGTGTTCTCTGTTTACCAACTATGGCGGAAGGCTAAGTATGAAGCCCACCTTGATTGCCCTTTGCAACGTCTTCTGTTTCTTCAGCCGTAACGATTATCTTGCTTGGTTTAGTGGAATTAGGGGCCCATTTGGAATTATCGTAGCCTTCGTCACCAGGCTGGCAGACGCATCCTTTGCACGCTTGTTTAAGATCCTGATGCTCCATCTCAGCAAAGGACGAGAGACATCCAAGAGTAGATTTAAGTAGAGCTCACAGAAAGTGGTTGAGACATCTGGCTTTGACGGGAGAGTGAGACTTGGGAGGGAGGATGTTGAGAGTAAATGTGGGAAGTTAGCGAAGTGAAGCAAAGCTGGCTGTGAGTACTTATAGATCCATCAGAGATATGCATTCGGAGTAATAATACCGCCTTTCAGCCGCTTTCCAAAATTTGGTCGTCTGGAGTGGAGGGGGTGGAGGAAATGAAGGGTGCAGGACGATTCGACAACTCCACTTCCTGCTGGTGTTAACCAATGAGGCGAGCCGAGGCGCGCTTCTGAGAACCTAACTCAGGCACAAATAAAGTGAAAACTACCGTAAAAGGCTCATTCGAACTAGAGAAGTCGTCATACATTAGGGATTTGCTCATCCGAGGCGGCAAACACTGGCCCGTGAAACCCCGTGTAAAGTTCGAACGTATATATGAGTATCGGTGCTCAAACAGGTTTATGCTTAGCTCTTGAAAGATGGACTATTATGACCCGTTTCTATCACAAAACACGAGGTTCCGGTCGAGGAACGACAGTGGTAGGTGCCCTGACACGAACATCACATAATATAATAGCTCTGTTTACAGAAACCTCTTCATAAGACCCCAATTATCGAGGTTCAAGGAAGTCACGGGAGTTTCTCCTTCTACTCCATCCCTCTATCAGGCGGTGGGGCGAATCGCGAACCACCTATCGAATACTATCTCGGGGTCATATTTTCTTTTCACTTCCTGAAGCCGAGCGTAATTGGGACCAAAGAGCTTCCTAGCATATTCATCGGTTTCATTTTGCGTCGAGAACGGGTCCCCGTAATTTGCGTAACCCAAAGAGTCCTGAGCAGCTTGCGAGGAAGAAGCTGAGACGATCCTCTTTAAGTTAAGAAGGTCTTCCCATGCGTGTGAAGCGAATTCATCCGCTTCATCAATGCCCATGATAGCACAAAGCACCGTGACAAACTGGGGGTGAGATTTCACGTCAGATAGCTCGGTCAATCAGGCTCGAGTCGGACCGGGACTAACTGGATGTCGCTGAGCAAATGCAGCACTTTCGAGGGGAACCTCGTGTACTTTCTTATCCGGATAAAATTCGTACATGAGGATCGAGAAGGGAGCTTTCTTGGAAACTTCGGCCCATGCGTCCCACGATTTTTGAACCTGAGGTGCGTCGAAGCTGTCAATGTGAGCGCCTACAAAAACCTTTCCCTTAGGAATTGTGTTCATGGCATTCTAAAATTATTGATTCAGTTTATCGGCGAGGATGCAGTAATATAAATGTGGGCATATCACGTACCCCGAGGTTGACGACTTCTTGCCATGGGACCTGAGCGTTCGTAATTTTGACTGGCCCTAGAACAGGTGCCGTACTTCAATACAGTAACATGAAGGCCGTGTCCACAGGTGGTATCCGCACTCACCTAAGTTAAGGAAACGACGGAAGGCGGCTTCTCCTTCCTCTTGAGCCGAGTTACTAACTCCGTTGAGGATCACGTAGGGCTGGCTCGTAAAGTGTTATCTCGCCGCTCAGAGCTTTTGGCGACGGCGTCCATGAGTTTCTCACATTTCCATCGGGTCCTAGGGAGACGAGCATGCAGACCGTCTCATGTTGTTTTTGTACTGCCCTCCATTCATTGATCGTGGTGACGACAGTTTCGAGCTGCGCCGGGAGATATACGTAGCCTAAAAATATATGGGTGAACGTTTTTGTCGGCGTGAACGCCTGTCGTCATACGTACTGATGGCGTAGGCATCTGGTCGTTGTGAGTGTAACTTGACCCCGAGTTCGGCAACTACGCCGAAGTTTGAGCCACCTGTGTCATCGGCTTAAGTGGAAGAGAATTAAATATCGGAGGGCAGGTCTCACCTCCTTTCAGGCCCCACAGTAGATCAAGGTTTTCTGATTCACTTGCCTGGACGATGTCTCCGTTCGCCAGAACGACCGTCGCAGATACCAAGTTATCACATGCCACCCCATACATGCCGAGTGAGTACCCGAGGCCCCCGCCGAGAGTATAACCGCCAATAGAGACTTGACTGCACTGAACAGGGGTTCAGCCGGAATGGAGGATCATTTTCCGCAGAGAATTTACATACCAAGCCTGCACAGGCAGCGAGACCTAAACCATCAAGAGAACCATCAGATATAGCATGTATACCCAAGTCCTTTCGTGTTTAATAGAATACCATATTTGATCGTCTCGGCCTCAACTTCCGCCATCAAGGCTCCTGATTGCATGTATCCAATCCTGGCTCCCTCGTCGATGCGAATTTTGGTCATTCTTCGCATATCAATCAAAAGTCCATCGGTAGCGGAAGCCGTACTACTGCTATGGCCCCCTCCACGAACAGCGATAGTTAGGCCTTGAGAACGGGCAAACTGGTGGGTTCCGACAGAGAGTTGTAAGGTAGTGGGTATAACGTATGA